CCGCCCCCTTCTCCTCCTCAAACTCTTCAAAACACCTGGAGCATGCGATTTGAATAGCCGCTGTCTTCCCTCAGTTTTGTTCTTAAATTTCAATTTCAAATAAATTCGTTCTTTAATGTACAAATTGGTCTACATTATGACAGCTTATTAAAAAGTTGTCAAGTTCTGCAATATACTCAATTTTGGTCAAACATTTAAAAACTTCAATGATATTTCTCAAACACCTGCCTTGCTTTGCTTCATATTCACAAATTTGAGTCACATAGATAGAATTTCATTTGTTTGAAGTTTTGTTGAAATTGGCACAAAAATGAAAGCTATTGACCTTTCAATGCATCCTCTTTAAAAAAAAAAAAGACACCCTGTTTGTATCTTTTAAGGAAGTACCTCCATTGGAAAGGAGATACAAATTGTATAATTCAATCCCTTATTTTATATCTTTAAGTCATACATGCAAAACAGCAAAACAAAATGAAAACTTACCTGTACCAGGTGTAAACATACTCTTTTAGGACAATGGTGAAGAGCTGCAGGTACATGGGAGTGGGAACGGAAGAGAGAAGGTCAAAGAAGGTCACAATAATCAAGTTGGGAGTGAACTCTATCAGGAGAGGACGTTATGCAAAGTTAGGAACAACAGCTATTATATTGATGGGTTGTCATTAGGGGTGTAATACTCTTCCTCAAGCAAGACACTTAGACCCTAGCTCAAAAACAAAAGCCCATCCAACAGTGGTGGGTTTGCTTGTATGAGTCTGCTGATTCATGTGTTCCCTGAATACCTATAACATGATTCTCGTGGTTAGTTTGTCATTGTACAGTCAAACCTGGGTAAAACGGCCACCCATTGTCAAGGAGAAAAGTAGCCTAATAACACAGGTGGCCATCTTAGGCAGGACTGATCAAAATGAAGAAAGCAAACCATATTCTTCTGAGGTCCAAACCGGATTAACCTCAGGCTTTAGACTGCCCTATGGCTAATTCAAAAGGGTTTTTGTTTTCTTTTGAAAAAGGGGGTTGGGTAGTGTAAGAAGTGTTTTTCGTGTTGCAGGTATGTTGGTTTGTTTTTTGGTTTGCTTTCTTTTTGTGGCTGATTTTGTGCAAAGGTAAAAAAAAACCAATGAAATATAATGTAAGTAAGAAAATGAAGACCGAGTACCAAGGTAAAACAAACAAACGCCACCACATGGTGAAGGAGCGACGCTTCTGTTGCAAGTTCACGTCAACGTCCATAGTCACTTTGTTACAGATTAGTTAAACAAAACGGTGATCAGCCACCTCACATACGATTTGTGCATGAGTTGTGGGCGGGGCTTATAGCTTATGACGGACCACACGCTTCCCTCACTAGCAGCTGAAAATTTATTGCTACCCATTGGTCAACTTGGGTAAACATTCTTTGGAGGGACTAGCAATAACAATAAGTGAATGAATTATGACGGCCCGTCCACAGCGTGAGGGGTCGATTCAAAATTTCAAAGCGTCAGGCAATGAGTGACCACGCCTGGCTGCCTGAGGCAGGTAAATTCTTCTGTGGGTTGATAAAATAAGGAGGCCGCGGCGGACACAATTTTACACACTTAAATTGTATCGAGAAAATGCAAGGGGGGGAATGGAAAGTGGCCGTTTGTATGGGTGGCCTTATTATACAGGTGGCCATCATGGCAGGTTCGACTGTATATGTTATAGTCAACATAATTTTTCAAGAAGAAAGAAGAAAGTAGCCTGTCAAAAACATACAACTGAACATTTTGCTCCACAATAATTGAGTCTGTTTAACTGTTTAAGGCATTTTTTGACAATCTACCACGCCATAGTTTCAGTAAAATATCATCATCATCAGTGCCTTTCACCCCTGGCTGGGTATTGGCCACATACAAGCTCCTTCCATTTATCTCTGTCCTCTGCCATCCTTCGTAGCTCGTTCCAAGTGAGCTTCGTCTCTCTCGTCGTGTCCCTTTCCACATATCTCCTCCATGTTTCCCGTGGCCTACCCCTGCCTCGTCCTCCCTGTGGGTTCCATTGCAGTGACTGTCTTGTGATGTTTCCGCTGGGCTATCTGAAGGCGTGTCCCATCCAACGCCACTTTTTTAGTCCAATTTCTACTTCTATATCCTTTTGACCTGTCCTTTCCTACAGCTCTTCATTTCTTATTCTATCCTGCCACTTAATTCTTAGGATACTCCTCATACATCTGTTGATGAAAGTCTGGACTTAATTCAGCACTGTCTTTGTTATCTTCTAAGTTTCGCAGCCGAAGAGGAGCACAGACTTGACATTGGAATTAAAGAGTCGAATCTTGGTGCGCAGTGAGATCTCGCTTACTTTCCAGACTTTTGATAATTGCTTGAATGCTGACCTTGCCTAGGTGGTTCTTGCTTTTACTAGGGCTGGATCCTGCTCGTCAAATTTGAGAGTGGCGATTCGCGATTCAGTTGGCTTCAATGACTCGCGAGTACGCGAGCGCTCGTGGAGCTGTGGCGGAATACTGACTGAAACGGAACAGTGTCATATCAACGCCTCTTGGCGAGCACAAGTCACACTCTTGTTGTTCCACCATCCTCTCCGCTCAACACCCTGTGTTGCGCTGCTCTATCAACTGACCTCAATTAGTGACCCCCATAAATTCCCCCCCCCCCCCCACCAACCCCACCATTCACTAAAACAATGGCTCCATAAAATTCCACCTATCTATTGGTTGGACCCCGTTCATTTTGTTTTAATAGGGGGGTTGGACTATACCATCTTTTGTAAAATAAGGGGAGCCATACTAAGTGTTCCGTGCTCGTAACTCGACTCAGCAGTAGGTTAAACAAGCCACAAGGTGGTGACAGCGACAGGGGAGTGAATCGAGAATCGTTTGGCGATACTGTTCCGCGTTCCGCTGAAGTGAATCGTGAATCGCGTTCCGCAGGAAAGAGTGACGATTCAGTTCCGTTCTCGCGCTCGTGACCCAGCCCTAGCTTTTACATCTGCCTCAGTTCCACCTTTACAATTGATGACACTTCCAGGGTAGGTAAAGGAGTCCACTTCTTCTAGGGATGTGTCTTCGACAGTCACAACAGGGCTTGACACTTTTCCTAGCTTCACTACTTTTGACTTGCCCGGGTGTAGGCGTAGGCCAACACTCCTTCATAAGCTGCTGAGTTCCTTGGTCTTTTCTTGCATCTGAGCATGTGCGTGTGAGAGCAGTGCAAGGCCCTCAGCGAAGTCCAAGTCATCCAGCTGTTGCCAAGGGATCCACTATATTCCATTGGGCTAGCCTCTGGTGGCTTCCTTCATGATCCAGTCAATTGCCAGTATGACGAAAAATTCAGTCAAATATATTCTACTTCAAATACAAAAGGCAGACTGAGATATACACAAAAAAAATCATTCTCAAATACAATTTCATTTATCTTTAATAAACAACAAAAAAGACATTAGATTTTGCTCACCTCATCCAGAGCCTCATCAACCTTTTGTCGAATGTCAAGATTTGTCCATGGTTGGAATGCTAAAATGTTGAGCTCTGGTCTTTAAAAACAGAAATAAAATCTTGTGTGAATGATGATAGAATGATTAAGTACTAAAGCAAAGGGAAGAAACAGGGAAAGGGGGGGGGTGTCCTGCTTTTGCTTTATTTGTCAAGTGACTCGAAAACAGCTCGTCCACTTGTTGAGACGGGTTTTGACCTGACAATATCACCATGATAGAGCTGTCTTTTAAAAATTTCAACAAAAGTTCCTGCTTGACTTTCAACGATTTATTCACAAGCGAGTTCCTTGTCTTGCCACATACTTGTACATACATAATTATACTTCACGCCTGTGTCTACCTTTGCCCTTTTGTTGAAACGCGTTTTGACATATTATCATTATGCTGGGTCTGTGTTTTTAAAAAAAACGACATCTGTAAATTGTTCCTGCTTGACGTTTAACGATTTTTAAGAACTTTGTTTTTTTTTTGTCATACATAATTATTATGTACCGTTATTATAATAGTACAGGCCTTTGTCTTGCCTTGTCCTACATTTGGACTGGTGTGTTGTGTCTTGGAGAGAGTAATGTCGTCTTCAGTGGCTTAGATAAAACAAAAAATGCTGTTTATTTTTTCCATTGCTCGAGGTTTTTCTTAACCCTATCCGTACGTCGTGTTTTATTATCGTATCCATACGACGTGGATACGATAGTACATTGTGGAGTTTTTAAAGTTATCCACTCAATTAGCTCAGTCCTAACCGGGATGGGCATGAAATTCGGAAGACCTGCCTCATAGAACCAGTGTTGAAAGATGCGTTAAACCTATTCTACAACTTTTTTGGGGGTAGGTGTTTAACGGTGTCGCAACTGCGTAAGGTCATATGAGGGGGCAGGACACATTAAACGTTTTCAGTTGGTAGGAAATTTTGAATTTTGCCCAGGTGGCAGCAGAAGCCTCTTCTATCGATTTTTGGACCACCTTAAGGGATCTTTAACGTGCGCAACTTGCACACGGAACCTCCAAGACTTTTCGCCCTTGTCCGGGAAGGCTAGGTGTAGATCTTTCCTACCATAAAATCAGGGGTGTGGCTGAAAGACAGCAGAAAGAAGGAGCCAATGAGAAGCAGTAGAAAGGCTATATACAAATTTGGTCTAATTCTGCGTCTTGGCTTTTGTCCCTCTAAATGACTGAAACAACGAACGGTGCACAAAACCGATGAAAGAGAACGACGGGCGTCTGTGGTGTAGTGGTTAGGCGCTTCACCGTCGCATAAAGTAGAGCCGAGTT